ATTTTCGGAATTTTGTATTACACTGTACATTGTTTGAAACTTTTGAATTTTCAAAGTGTAAGAATTCATGAAAATCTGAGAATACTTGAAAAATACTGATCGACCATTATTCTAGTACACTAAACAAATTCCAACAAATTTTTGATACTTGCTTCTCGACACTTTCAATTATTATTTTTTTGATCTCCGAGATCTGATCCCTTGAAACTTATTGAATTTCTATTCTGAAAACCCACCCGCCCTCTTCTCGGTGTTCCTTTGAAATTGGTCCAAAAAGGTAACCCGTTTTTTTAACCCGTTTTGAAACTGCTCATTCTTCTTTTTTCTTCCTTTCTCCTTGTTTCTGACATTTGTCTCTGCCGGTTTTTCAAAAAATCTTCAAAAACTCTGTCTTCCAGTTTTTTCCTCTCCAGGGGGCAGCACCCACAAAACAAGTGACTTTTCTATTCATATCCAATTTCATCCCTCTCCACTTTTTGCTTTTTTCCCAACCCATTTTCAGTGCTCTTTTCATATGTATTTCATTCAATTTATTATATCCCATATCCCACCATATCTTTTATTCAGTCTAGACACCTACAAAAAGTGAGAATTAAAGTTCTTGGGATCTTGAAAAAATGTATAAAATCGGATCAGGGATAATATACGCAGAGATAGGAAGAAACGAAAAAACAAAGAAAGTTTTTTTTTCCCTTTTTTTACATCAGCTCTACACACCCTTTTAGTGCATTTCGGGTAGAGAGAAAGAACCTTTTTTCGCCCCTGTTCTTCCTGGTTGTGACGTAGATTTACTTAACAAAAAAAAAGAGAAAAGAAAGCAACTGTTTTTGTGTTGGGTTCCGAGGAAAAGGAAAAAGAAAAACCAAAGATGGTTCCGAAGTTTCAGGAAACAAGTTTTTTNNNNANCNNGANCGATCCGGGTGTTAGAGGTTTTACGGTATTCCAATTTTTGCAATTTTTGATTTCTCTTGAATTTTTTTTAAGTTCAGTATATCCAGAAAAATCTGAAAAAAATTTGAAACTTTCAAAAATTACAAATAATTTCAAGAAACGTTAACTTCCGAAATTCTGAATTTCATGATATTGTTTCGGATTTTTTTGGGGTTTTCTGGAAAATTCGGTATTTTAGAATTTTCGTTTTTTCTGGAATTTTCGAAGTTGGAGAAAAACGTTGACTATAACAACTTCTAAGGTGTTCTTTTAAACTTCCAAAAATAAATAAAACAAATCAGTTTCAGTAATTTTTTCTGAGCCCGAAGTCCTAGAAAACGCAAAATTGAACTCCTCAAAAATTTTTATCCCACATTTTCCTTTTTTTTTGTAGGCTTGAAATGAACGAGTCTAGACTACTTTTTTGTCACAAAAAAGAAGACTCAATATTTTCAATATGAGAACTACAAGTCAAACTTCATAAGAAGACATCAATGATCCGGAAAAAAGAAAAAAAAAAGCGAAACTCTGAAGCAATTGGGCACAAAAACTCAAGTGCATTTCTCTCTTGTTAGAAACAAAACATAAATTTTACTACTACTTTTTTCATAAAACAAAAGAAAAACTTTTGAAAAGAAAAATGAAAATGTCAATCTCTTTATGATGAATTCTCCAATTGCTATGTCTATTCTGAATAGAAAACCGTAGGAGAAAAGCAAAACGGAAATAAACTTAATGTCGTTTTTTGAACCTGCGAGGATCCAGAATCGAATTCAGAAGATAGAAAAAAGAAGAAGAAGGATTTGTTAGAAGAAGATGAAGAAGGACACAAAAAGAGAATGAAAATCTTATTGGGATCCTCTTCTTCTTCTTCTCATCCTTCTGTGTTCCCACGTCTTCTCCTTCTTTTAGTTCTCATTTTTCGCTTCCGGCCACTCTATTGAAATCAAAGAAAGAGGAAAGGAGCGAATTCTCGTGATTCAGAAGATGTCACTAGTAAAAGTAGTAGTAGTCGTAAAGCTTTTCTCTTTCACCATTGCTATTTTGATCAGCAGTTCTCTGTGATTTGATGATGTTGATCTTTTGAGAAGGAAGAGGAAAATACATAGAAGGTAAGGGAAAAATTGATGCATCAGGTCGAAAAAATATCGGAAATCGGTGATAAAGTTTTTATGGATTTTGGTGTTTTTATTGCAAAACAGTATCCGAAATTTGAAATTAAGCAGAAATACATCTCCTGTGTTTTCTAGGCCGTTTACCATGGTGGCCTAACTTTTGCAAGTTGAGTTTTCTAGGCCACCAACTTTAATGACTTAGAAATGCTCTGATATTCACCTGATGTGTTTTCTAGGTCATTTAGCACGATGGATTTCTAGTCCACCATCTTTAATGGCTTAGAAATACCCTGATATTCATCTAGTGGGATTTCTACGCTACTTTAACATGGTGGCCTAACTTTTGTTTCTTAGGACACCATGGTA